GTAGCCCAAGTATTTTTGAACTGCTGTTCCCAGAAACCTTCATCACCAGCTGTGCTGCCCAGGGTTTCTGGGCATTGCAGTCAACACCTGGGCTACCCAAGGTTGAGAACCAGTGCGCTACACCACACTGGGTATGAATGTTGCCTCTTTTAAATCTCTAAAAGCAGCTGCACATTGATGAGTTCACGTTTATTTCAACAAACTTTGACTGCGGATGTAAGTGGATCTCAGAATAGAGATTTTTGTAGTTGACTATGACTTCTTCAGCCAGCAAGGTTACTAGGTTTGATAACTAAGGTTGCTAAAAAGTTGTAGTCTATACTATATTTTGACATATACGGTATATGAATGCCTTCTCCAAAGGGAACAACAACAACAAAACAAGCTGCCCTTCTAGAGCTCAAACAAGCCAGTGTCCAGAGTGTTGATTTTAAAAAGCAAGCACCCAGGAAGAGGGGAAGCTATTGTAATTACAGTATTTTGGTTATTTGAAGGGAAAAACAGTACTCAGGTTTTTTTTTGGGGGGGGGTTGTACGTAAACTGTTAGAAAAAAGCAATACTACGACACCTCTTGGTGATGGGCTCCCTGTGAAGCAGTGGTTAAACTGCAACACTGCAGCCAAGACTCTGCTCCCAACCCGAATTCAATCTGGACAGGCTCAGGTAGCCAGATCAAAGTTGCCTCAGCCTTTTAACCTTCTGAGGTCGGTAAAATGAGTTCCCAGCTCATGGTGGGGGGGATGTTTACCTGCATAATTAAATTGCAAACCATCAGGAGAGAGCTCTAAGCACCATGGGGTGCTGTATAAGCAGCACACTTTGCTTTGCTTCCTCCAACCCATCTTTATGTCACTGTAAGCTAGAAAGTGAGGTCTCGGGGCAACTCGGTGTTCACAGAGTTAAGCAGCAGGTGGAATGAGAGACAGTGAGTGAGGAGTCCAGACTTGTTCATGTTTAGACCAATCTCACTAAAATCAAATTAGCATATAATCATGGCTAAGTCTCACTGAATTCAGTGAATGTGCTGAGCATGACCAGATCTGTATCCCGCTCCGCCCAATATATCTTTTTTATTTAAATACTGGTGTTCGGAGAAAGAGTACAAGTGAAAATAAAACAACATCTTTATGTCACTGTAAGCTAGAAAGTGAGGTCTCGGGGCAACTCGGTGTTCACAGAGTTAAGCAGCAGGTGGAATGAGAGACAGTGAGTGAGGAGTCCAGACTTGTTCATGTTTAGACCAATCTCACTAAAATCAAATTAGCATATAATCATGGCTAAGTCTCACTGAATTCAGTGAATGTGCTGAGCATGACCAGATCTGTATCCCGCTCCGCCCAATATATCTTTTTTATTTAAATACTGGTGTTCGGAGAAGGGGAGAAGTGAAAATAAAACAAAGTAACACAAAATACAAGTGTTAATTAATGTAGCAACACTAGGAAAACTGTGCCAACCATAGAAGTTGTGATCACTCTGTCTATACATTTACAGAAACATTTCAGATTGCATTTCATAGCCTCCAAAACACACACACACACACACTTTTGCAATTGCCTTTCTAAAACCTCTGGCAGCTCTACTTACTTTGAATCAGAAAAATGAAACTGTCTACTTTTACTGGTGTTCGGAGAAGGGGAGAAGTGAAAATAAAACAAAGTAACACAAAATACAAGTGTTAGTTAATGTAGCAACACTAGGAAAACTGCGCCAACCATGGAAGTTGTGACTACTGTCTATACATTTACAGAAACATTTCATAGATTGCATTTCATAGCCTCCAAAATACACTCTCTCTCTCTCTCTCTCTCTCTCTCTCCCTTTTGCAAATTGCCTCTGGCAGCTCTACTTACTTTGAACCAGAAAAATGAAACTTGTCTACTTTTGTCTGACATACGTTTACCCTAAACAATGGACTCTGAAGAACTTCCAGGAATTAATGTTGACCCCAGAATTCTGTATTTCATGTTTACCATCTACTTTACAGCAATCTCTCATACTTACATGACATTAATTCTTCTACCACAATCCTGGCTGGTAATGGCTATGTTCAGGTATCATGCTAGAGCTGAGCTTTGAACAGTTTTTTTTCCGGGCTACATGACCAAAATTGCCCAGCCAGTATGGATGGGGGCTTTTAGAGCCATACTTCAAAAGTGACTTTTCCCAACTCTGTGCTCAACAGAAATGAGCTACAGTGAGTGTCAGAGTCAAGTACTGTATTCCTGTCTCCTATGGCCAAAGGTAGATTAGAAGTATCAACAGAAATGAGCTACAGTGAGTGTCAGATTCGACTGTATTCCTGTCTCCTATGGCCAAAAGTAGATTAGAAGTACTTGCTTTCAGTTTCCATCAGTCAAAGATAACAGCATTACATGTCCACATGTCCAATTATGTTTAATATAAAGTATGGTTTGTTTAAACAAGCCAGATTCCTAATCCATGGTCCAAGGTTTCCTTGTTAAAAAAAAAAAAAAACTGCAGAATTAATACCAATTATAGTTTGTTGGGTTGAGATGAAACGAGAAGTTTTGGCAAAGGAAAAATAGATACTTCAAACACCTCCATTTGGAGTGCCAGAGAAGCATGCAGCATCTCAAGACTTGCTGGTGCTCTTGACATGCGAACCTGTAGGTTTTAGCATCACTTTTGAGCCAAATCCATATCATAATAGTAAGAGTTAGAAAGAGCCTATAAGGCCATCAAGTCCAACCCTCTTCTCAATATGAAAATCCAAGTTAGGCCATCAAGTCCAACCCTCTTCTCAATGTGAAAATCCAAGTTAAAGTACAGTGGTGCCTCGCAAGACGATGTTAATTCATTCTGTGAAAATCACTGTTAAGTGAAAACATTGTCTTGCGAAACACGTTTTCCCATTGAAATGCATTGAAAACCTGATGATCCGTTCCAATGGGAATGGACTGTCATCGTTAAGCGAAAATTCCCGTAGGAAAAATCGTTAAGCGAAACGCGGTTTCCAAGTGAAGACAGCCGTCTAATGAAACAGAGACCATTAAAAGACTCATAAAGTGAAGCAAGACCAAGCTGTCAAAAACATCGTAAAGCGAAAAACAGGGACCTAAAATTTAATCGTCTTGCGAGGCAAGGTCCTTAACATCGTAAAGCGAAAATCAGCCATAGGAAACATGGTTAAACGAAGCACAAGATCGCTCCGAAAACTTCATTGTAAAGCAAATTTGTCATTAAACGAAGCAATCGCCTAGCGAGGCAGCACTGTATATCAGACTGATGGCTGCCTAGCAGTTTTCTCTTGAATGCCTCCAGCATTGGAGACTTCATTACCTCCTGAGGTAATTGGTGTCATTGTTGTACTGCTCTAACAATTATGATTTTTTTCAGACATTCAGCCAAAATCTGGTTGTTGTTGTTTTGTAACTTAAACCCATTATTACATGTCCTGCACTCTGGAATGTTTGAGAACAGGTCTTTCACCTCCTCTGTATGATTGTGCAGGCATTCTTCAGTCTTGAGAGACTATGGTAACGTGCTCTGAATGGAGGTATGATATCCTTTGAAGTATTTGAAGAGTGCCATCATATCTCAGTTAAATCAACTGTAGTAAACAAAGGCACATCAGTATGGTTCTTTCAATAACAAGGAGTGGTTAAACTGCAGTAAAGAATCTAATCCCAGGCTCAGGCAGCCAGCTCAAAGTTTACTCAACGTTTGATCCTTCTGAGGTTGGTAAACTGAGTGCCCAACTCGCTGGGATGGGGGCAATGTGTAGCCTTCATAATTAAATTGTAAATCACTCAGAGAGTGTTCTAAGCACTATAGGGCAATATATACGTGTTTTACTGTCACACAGAAAGTTCTAAGCACTATAGGGCAATATATACGTAGCACACTTTGCTTTACTGTCACACAGAATGAAGTGAAAATTCATCAAAGTAGGTGGTTACAGGCAGGTTGAGAAGAAATTGTTTTTAGATGCACAGACCATGCTGGAAATTTGAAACCCTGAAGAAATGTGTGCCTTCCACCAATGCTCAATTCACCATGAAATGTTTTTCCCTCTTCCCAGTTTTTCATGGGGAGTATCATTTTGAAAGTATCCTCAACATGGCTAAGAGAAGCTACTTCCCTCACATTAGACAGCCTATTACCTGTGAAAGTTGATACGGAATTATCCATGAGTAGGTGGTGCTGCGGGTTAAACCGCTGAAGCCTCTGTGCTGCAGGGTCAGAAGACCAGCAGTCGTAAGATCGAATCCACGCAACGGAATGAGCACCCGTCGCTTGTCCCAGCTCCCGCCAACCTAGCAGTTCGAAAGCATGCAAATGCAAGTAGATAAATAAGGGACCACCTCGGTGGGGAGGTAACAGCGTTCCATGTCTAAGTTGCACTGGCCATGTGACCACGGAAGATTGTCTTCGGACAAAAACGCTGGCTCTGTGGCTTGGAAACGGGGATGAGCACCTCCCCCTAGAGTCCGACACGACTGGACAAAAATTGTCAAGGGGAACCTTTACCTTTACCTTTACCTAGTGTCCTCCAGATGTTTTGGACTACAAGTCCTTTAAGTACTGATCATTAGCCATTCTGACAGAGGCTAATAACACTTGTAGTTTACAACAACTGCAGGGCACTCTATATTACCTAGTCCTGACATAAACCATAAATGGAAGAACAACGTGAGAAAACTTTGATCTTGCAGCAACCACTAAAGGGAAGCAGCACTGAATGTGTGATTCAGAATGAAGAATTAATTGCCATATACAGTGAGAAAGAAAAGCCTGAGAGTCACTGTAACTGAATCATTCTGAACCCACTTCACTGAATTTAAGAAAAGAAGCAACCCCCCTCATTCAAGTCTTCATTTTCATTAACACCTAAAATATCTTTTTCTCTGGAAAAACAGTGTTAAGAAAAACACCCCCCACAACAGTTCCAGCATTAGGTCCTGGTTTGCCAAACCCTACAGTGCTTTCTGCCAGATCAGTATTTGTATTTTAATAAAACATCTGATCTACTACAAAAGGTACAATTAAGACAATGTCTTTTTGTTTGTTATAGTTAAAATAGAAAAACTATGTAGTGCTGCAAACAGGCAAAGGTTTACAGGCAGAGAAGTCCCATGATGATGCCAACAGACAGATCACTCATTCCACCTCATCTTCGTCTTTGGAAGCATAGATAGCCTGGTTTCGCCTTTTAATTCTCTTGGGACCTGCACTGCTTTCTTCATTTTCACCACTGATCCTCTTCAACAGCTTTTCACTGAGGCTTTGCTCTTCTGCCTGACTGCTCTCATTTGATTTCTCCAGTTCCTCATCCGCATTCACTGAGGCTTTGCTCTTCTGCCTGACTATCATTTGATTTCTCCAGTTCCTCATCAGCGGTGCCCACAGTATCATTTGGTGACACGGTCATAGAATCCGGCAAGATTCTGACCTCTGAAAAAGTTGTAGAGATGTTATCAGGGCGGTCAGCTGATGGCTCCACAGAGCTTGGCTCAAGATCTTCATCAGCACTGTCTTCATCCAATATTATTTCATCAGGGTTGACAGATAACGACAAAGCAGAAGTATCTGTATTATAGTCACTAGGGTCCTCTGCTGACCCAGAGCTGTCGACTTCTTCTTCCTCCTCCTCTTCATCTTTGGGCTTCAGTATCTGCTCTCTCAATTGCTGGATTCTATAGTTAATGTCTGTAAGACCAAACTGAGCACAGAACTCCGTGGTCTGGGGATTGATTCTATGAACTGGTTCTGTCTGTTGCTGAGAAGGAACCATAGCACTAAAGTTATGTGGAATCTGGAGATTACGGTTTGCTTCTTCCAACACCTCCTTGGTATCATCTTCTGAGACACTATAATCCCATCTACAAGAAGTCAAACACAAAATGTTCAGTCAGACTTCAAAAATTAATCCCTTCTCTGCATCAAAAGTGTGAAGTGTTCCAAGACAAACGAAAGCATGAGATCCACCAGAAATGCATTCACCAGCTCACTACTGACAAGGGTGCATTTTACTTTTTTGAGAGCACAAAATCAGGTAGTGCGCCCACCTTTGCTTTATATCTGAAGAAGCATAAAGACTCCCTGTTAACAGTGGTTCTCAAAAAAGTCCCCCCCCCCATATTTTGGACTTCGATTCCCAGAATACCTAAACATCGTCCATGCTGACTAGGGTTTCTAGAAGTCGTCGAAAACCTCTGCATTATGATGTCTGCCTGGATTTCAGAAATCCAGGAGAATGGCAGGGGCTGTACTGAATTATGGACATAATTTGGAAAGTTGTGAAACACTGCTGTATAAGGCTGCAACTACACAGGTAAATATTACTGGATTTGTTGCAGAAAAAATGGATACATTCAAAAAAATTTAAACTGATCACACGAGTCAAAAGCCAGTGCAAATCAGCCCAGCCCTTTCTCCTTCCAAAGCAGTTTTTCCTCCCCTCTGCTGCTAGGGGCTGCTATTTTTTTTCAAGCTGGAGAAATCTGAACGGTATTTTTTTCATGTGATCACTTACTTCATTCTACAAAAGGATGCAGGGTATAACTGTTGGTGATATTCTGGTGTTATACTAAGCTGGGCATGATGTTTTGGACATCAAGAACACCTACTCATGTTATCTTTTTTCTTAGCTGTCCCAAAGTGTTTTCCCATCACCACCACAGACTACTGAGTTTCAAGCTAGATCACCTTATCATTGCATTGATATATTAATTGAGCAATGGATAATCTCAGCACAGACAAAAAAAGATGAAAAAAATTAATATGAAATAGAAACAACTCTGACAAACTATAGCAAACTATTATGTTTCCACGGTATGCATGTGTTTGTACATTACGGACAATTCTGGAAAATTGTCCCTCTTACCAAATGCTACGTAACACTTTAAACAGCTTTGCATTGAATGAGAATAGGAGAGCTGGGAATTGGCAGAGGACAGGATCAAAGGAAGGGTTTGTGTGGTGCAAATCAAACCACATCCACTTGAGGGACCAGTGTAGGCACTGGCATTGAAACAATCTTTGATCTCCATGCAATCACATGATCTGAATAGAAGTATAAAATAGGCTGCAAACTAAATTGCAGCAAAAATGAATTGCTCCTTGACTTGCCAGTGAAGGCACATCCTTTAACTCTGACATTTAGGATATTGAGGATAAACTCTCATCTCCCTATGCAGCTATTGAGCAGGGCAAAAACTCTCCCCGGTCCAGTGCTGTATCTCAATGCCCAATACAAGGTAAGAAGCCTCTTTCTTCTATGGAGGTTGATGCAGGATCATGGCGCTAACAAGTCTGTCTTGATACCAAGACAAGATTGAGACAGACTGATGTAGCAATTCTTCACACAAAGTTAACTTATAATTTTCACTGATATAAGGTGTGATGATGACAACAAAGGGGAATTAGCAAACTCTTGAAGGATAAAGCTTTCAATGGAGGCTAACCATTTCACCCTTAGGGGTACATGCAACCTCCAGGAGAAAGGCAGTATAACTTTGATACCAGTAACTGAGGAGCAATTTTAAGAAAACTGACATGAAAACAATGAATTTATCTGAAATGTGGTGTTGGAGATCTTTGCAAATAATACCATGGACTGCTGAAAAGATGAACATGTGGGTCCTAGAACAAATTGAGCCTGAACTATCTCTGGAGGCAAAAAAATGTTGAAACCGAGGCAGTCCTACTTTGGGCACATCATGAGAAAGCAGAAAAAGGCAATAATGCTGGGAAAGGTTGAAGGCAGAAGGAAAAGAGAAGATGGACCGACTCTCTAAAGGAAGCCACAGGCATGAGTTTGCAAGACCTAAGCACGGTTGTTGAGGGCAGGATATTTTTTGACATCACTCATTCATAGGTTTGCTGTACGTTGGAGGTGACTCGACAGCACACAACAACAATGACAAGTGAGGAGGAAGAGCAAGAAAGGGCTGTTGCCTCTATGCCTTCCTCTCAGACAGTCCTGCTTTTCAATATCTCACTTCCACGTCCTGTCACCACCTAAGTTGTATTTAGTTAATACAAATGTTGGTTCCTAAAGATGGCACTCTGGCTCCAAAGCTCCCCTTCTGTTTAAGATGGGACACTTCAGAAAGATTGTTAAAATAGGTTTATGTAGGTGTGTTTTAACTCTTATTCTAATTCTCCCAAGAGTTTCATTCACAGTGCCGCTGTTTGCTTGCGTATGTCATCCGCTTTTCAATGGGCTGTAAAATTTAGTGTTTAATTATGGTTGTGAGCTGCTTCATGAGCTCCTATGGGATTAAAGCTCAGTGAATAAATAATTATATTAATATTCTACTTACTTTGCATGAAGTCCATTGTTTTCAGGCATGTTCCACAAGTTCGGAGACACGTTAATAAGGTTGTTTGTAGCTTTCAGAACAGCAATCCATTCAGGATCATATTCAAGGTGATCAGGTGCATTTGGGTCATGTGGAATCTCAACTATCTGAGGAAAACATAGATATTAAGAAGGCTCATTAGTTGTCTCAAGAGGAAAGGTAAGGTTTGGAATCTGATGCACCACCACAAATAAAACTGCCATTGTGCTTGTCACCAATTCAGTTTTTCTCCATCGCATCACAGAAGGCATATGAAACACCACATCTGAAGCTAAGCTACAAAACAAGGGTGAAGAATTTCCAAACGTTATGAGCCAAACCTGTGCCTCCACACACTTCTTGGTTTGGTTCTCTAAACCAGCCATTTTCTTTTTGTTTTCTTTTTTAATTAATTAAAGAAAAACATTAAGAACAATACTAACATAAAATGTGTATACATACATACGATACAATAATACAAAAATTTTCCCCCTGTGCCACCATCACCCTCGGGACCAGGTAAGAAATATTTCCTTTTACTCTCTTTTCACCCCATTTCACTCCAAAAATACACTGATTCTTC